CCCCGATGGCTCGGATGGGGCTTGCGGGCGCCGCTGGACGCTGGTGGGGACTAGCTCTCGGCTTGACTGCATTCTTCCTCCCAGGTAAGCGCGTTCACTTCTGCCCCTCCCCACACCCCCATCCAGTGCCTCCCCGGGGCTGCGAGCTGGATGGCGGGCACGACTGGGTTGTGGGAAATGAAAGGAGCCAGAAAAGTTGGGTCAGGGCTTGGGTAAAGGGTGGTAGAAAAGTGGCACGACGGAGAAAGAGGTTGACGAGCCGAACAGCCTGCCCTGCAGGGAAGCGGTTGGGTGCACGTCTCTATGTAGCAAGAAAGCACTTTCTCCGCTCAGTTCTTCACAAAAATAATAATATGTAATAGCGTTCTATTTATTTAATAACTGCCTCTCAGCTCGGGAAGCAGTTTGGAAACACTGCATGTTACATAAATGCAAAATAATCACCGTAATCACCATCTCGGGGTATGAGACAACAGCTCCAGGGGGAGGGCGTCAATCTCGGAGCTGGTGGGCTGTCGGTTGGAAGGACCCCAGGGGGGCTTCGTTTTTTAGCCAGCCCCTTTGCCAGAAGGTTTCGGGCTCTCAGGCCCCACGTCGTCCCTCCGCGGGCGCAGAGAGCCGGTTTCTGCGGCAGAGACGGCCTGAGGCTCACCTGGTTTCTTTCCTGGAGGGTGAGGCGGGAGCCACCGGGGATCGCAACCTCCGGGCCTTGGTGCGGGACTGGGCTACTCCTCGGAACTCCACTCCCAGTTCGGAGGGCTCTCCCAGGGGGAGGCGCCACGGGCTTCGCGCCAGCCAGGTGGCTGCGTGACCCACTTTCCTGAGGGTGCCCCGCGTGTCCTTCCTCGAGGTGCGAGCTGCCGGCAGCTAAGGGGTTAACCTCGCGCTGGCCCCTGGGGTGGCCCGCGGTGGCCCATTCTGACGGGTAGGGTGGTGGCAGAGGCTGGGACCGGCCCAGGCATATTGTGCTGGGGAATGAACTGGAAAATGCGTTTAGGAGGCAAATCTGACCGAGTACCCTCGCCTGGGTTAACCCTTTGTGTCCCCAGGGAATCTGCTGGGTTTCTGCGGTGGCTGGTGACACCAACCTGGGGGGGGGGGGTAGGGGGAGTTCCTCTAGCTTTCTGGGAAGAAACATGAGACGGCCTCCAGCTAGCGAGGTGGGGGCGGGAGGTGTTTGGAGCACGCGGTCCTCAACTTGGGGTGGCAGGTTAGAGGGTCAATACAGAGACCATCCTTATCTGGGGCGAGGACATTAGATCCCAGGCGCCTGCTAGGTTGCAGACCGGCCAAGCAGTTTATTAGCAAAGGGCCAGCCTGGCTGCCCAGTAGTGGCTGGGGTGCACTCCTGGAAGGCAGGAACCTGGCCTCACTCACTTCTGCGCTCCTCCTGCCAGCCAGCTCTCCCTGAGTGGTGGATAGCAGGGAAGCGGTTTGTGAAAGCCAGTGCTGGGGTACCCCCACCCCTGCAGCCTGGGGTGCTTGCCCTGCGGGATGTGGGGGCAGTGGAAATGAGGGCTCAATGGTGTCATTGCCCACTTCACAGGGGCAAGACTGAGCCCCTCTCCCAGAGGGTGGTCTTTGTGAGACTGAGAGGTCATCATCTGACGATGGACTGTGTGGGAAGCTAGGGCTCTAGGACGTGCCTGCCCACCAGGGTTTGGGCTTCTGGGAGCCTTTCAGTTCTGTGTGTCTACATCTGATCCCCACAGAAAGGAGAGCTTTCCGGGAGCCTTGGTTGGTCCAGCACACTAGGGGTTAACCTAATCCTGGGATGGACAAAGGGTGGAAAGGTTTGGAGGAGGGGGAAGGAACTCACCCCATTCTCCCCTCTTTTTGTTATTCTCTGTCCCTAGCTTTGTGATTAATTCCTTCATCTGGGGGCTGGAAGTCTGCTGTTCTCCACCCACTCAGCAATTGGGGGCTGGGAGGTGACTCTCACCTGGCTCAAGGTGGCCACTCCCTCTGCCAAAAACCAAGATGAGGGGGTGGGGTACAGAGGAGGGAACCAAGCTGAGGCAGGCGCTTAATAAGTGCTCTTCCATTGATTGTAATTGATGGATGTGTAGCATCCAACACAGCCAAAGTTCCCGGACCTGCCAAGCTTCTCAGCCCCTGGGCTCCTGGGGCCTGCTCTGCTTGCTTACTCTGGGGTCCATTGTGAAGGGAGGCGAGTGTATAGGGTTGTGCCCAATCTGACACTTGGAGGGAGGCCAGTAGACCCAGAAGTTGACAGCCCACGCCCCACTTTGAACCACCCATGGCTTCCTCCTAATTGCCTGCAACTGCTTCTCCCTAGGGACTTGTCAGTCCGATGCTCTTTTCTGGGTTCTCTTGGGCTGTGACAGGGAGCATGGGGATGGTGGTGATGAGGAAAGGATGAGGGAGGAGCCCTGTATGGGGGATGGCCTCCATGGCCCCCAACTTCAAAACACTCCCAATCTGGCTACTGAAATGTAAACACAGAAGTATGTTTTCAGCAACACAGACTTCACCAGGCAGGACAGTGAGGCCCTATAAGCCTCTATTTCCTGAGATGACAATCTGTGACCTCCTTCTGTTAACTTAGAGGAGAGGGTCAGGGGGGCATGTGAGCTGTATCCCAAAGAGGGACAGAGAGCCAAGGAGGGGGCAGAGAACCTTCCTGAGAAGCAGGTGCACTGAGCCAGTGTCCCAGCTTCACCACACCCTCCCTAATTGGCTTCCCCACATCTTTTGTCTGGAAAGAGAACGCACACCCCAGGTGTCATGCACACCCTTGGAAGACCTGTCAGGTCACAGCTCACCCCTCTTTGCAGTCTGTGCAGAGCTCACTGTCATGGTGTTTTCCTTTGAAACTCCGAGTGTCAGGGCTGTTGGATTATTTTCTTTCCTCTCTCCCTATTTCTCATAGACAGGAGTGTGCTTAGGCTTGCCAGGCAGGGCTTTATGGCAAACACAATTCTGTTGGCCTGAGGTTTGCAGAATGTGTAAAGGGGAATAACCTTACCTGTTTATAAAGCAGCACTGTGGAGTGTCTCAGAATCTGATTCTAAGCCTCATAGTCAGGGCTAGGAAGAAAGAGAAGGCACTGCAGAGCTTGGGTCCACTGCCCTGGCTGAGTGACTTAAGAAGGTATCTCTTGAACTTGAATTTCTGAGCATGTAGGACAGGTAGCCAGCCCCTTGTTGTATAATGCTGGCCGAGTCCAGAGGTATTATCAGTTCCCCTCTCAGCCACTCAGCTTTGTGCAGTGAATCCTCCTCGGCCACTGCCTGGCCTCTGGACCCCATTGTATGCTGCCAGGATGGTATACTGCCAGAACCCTAGTGCTGACAGCTGAGCGAGTGGGCCAGGCTGGAGGGGTAGAGGGTCACCCGTTACTGTGTCTATGATACTGCCATTGTTTAGCAGCTGACTAATGTTCATTGTTCAGCACAAACAGAAAACACCCAAGGGAGGTGTGAATGTATCTTCAATTTTTCTGATTGTATCTTTTCCTGGTTAATCTGATAAATATGAATGCCTCCTACCTGGGGGAGGGGCACAAGGAGAGGTATCTGCATATTCACCTGTTTTGCTAGGTTTTTTTATAACTTCGAACATGAGCCAACCAGCCTACCAAGCTAGAATGGACATTAGCCTGTTGTGGAACTTACGGTATAAAATTTCTAAGAGTCTGAATATGGCTTCACTTTTGGAATAAATGTATGTACACACGTGTATAGGGTTTTGTGTGTTTGTGTTGGCAATCTGCAACCCACCGTGCTTGTGCAGATCTGTGAGGACAAGGCTCAAGAGGTGTGTGTCCTTACTTGTGTCTGTGGGTCGCTATGGGACTAGAGCCATAAATATGTAACAATGTGTGTTCATGTGTAACTGACTTCCTATAGCTTTCTGACTAGGATTTTGTGAGTGGTCCTGAGACTCAGTAATGCCTGTGCTTATATCAGAGTGTCAGGGTGATGGTGGGAGGAGACCCAGGATTTGCCCTTGGTTCACTCCTTCCCGGACATGCTGCTGGGTCCTTAGGGAGGGGGCGAGCCTCGATCTTGCTTCCTTTTTCTGTTCTGCCCTTGGCTTTAGACTAGACCTCTGCATCCTCACAGGGAAATGCTGAAGACCTTGACAACACCTGGAGAGACTTTTCTCTCTTGTCAGCAGCATTCTGTTGTCTTTCTGGCAAAAAGAGCAGAGCCAAGACCTGGTGTTAACTGGGGCTGGCCTGCCCCACAGGTTCTCAGAACGCCTGAATGGCTGGGAGGGGCTGAGGCCCAGGAGAGATAGGTTTCCAGCTCCTAATTTGGCTTCTGTGCTTCCTACATGGGTACCTGGGAGGGAAAATCATGATATGTGTTGGGGGTGAGGAGCATATTCTGGACATTTAAAAAGGGGCATGAATGTGGGCTTTGATCCCTCATGAATGTGGGCTTTGATCCCTCATGAGCAGCCCTGCAGAGCAATATATGTGCCCAGGTCAGTAACATATGTGTGCCTGGAATCACCCTGAGTTCCGTGCAGCAGAAAGCAAGAGTACCTTGTAGGAAAAGGAAGTAGAAATGAGGGGCAAGGATTGGGGAAGAGGGTAATCCCAGGAGCCCAGCAGCCTGTGGCCAAACCCAGCTGGAAAACGTGTCCCCTGTGATGCCCCACCACCACCTCCATAGAGACCAGGTCTGCAGAGCCAGCAGCAGATGTGCTGGCTGGGGCAGGAGGTAACTTAAGATGTGAGCAGGGATCACCTTGCCCAGGGAATGCCCTGAGCTGGAGATAACACCCTTTAGTCTAGTTAACCCTTTAAGCTCTGGATTCTCTGGTGCCATTTGGGGCTGGGGAATGGTGAAAGAGAAGAGCTATGAGAAAACACAACAATCATAATATCTGTACCCTGATCCATTCCACACAGAGAGATGAACTCAGTGCAACAGGAGAGTCTCAAACGCGACAGAAAGAAATACTTTCTGACAGCAGATTGTAAGATCCTCAGGGCAGTGGATAATCCCAGCTTTATCTGGGTGAGAGGGGGGAGAAGAAATAGGTATGCATTCTTGGGGGCTCTTGCCTTTCACAGATTCCCAGGGAAGGGCAGAGCAGCCGTGGTCCCA